TGGAGGGTATAAAAATGTTAAACTTTTTGGAGAAGCTATTAAAAGGAATGAGTGAATTATTTCGTGTTTTAGAAGAGTTATGACTATTTAATATTTTAAACCTCTGTAAACTTGAAAACTTCAGCTTTGAGGTACTCAATGACTTTATCTACCTCGGTACCGCCATAAACAAAACAAATGACATCAGTTTGGAGATTCGGAGAAGGATAGTGTTGGCCAATAGATGCTACTATGGTCTATGTAGGCAGTTCAGAAACAACGCCACATCTCGCCAGACAAAACTCACACTCTACAAGACACTGATACTACCCGTGCTGTTGTATGGATCTGAAGCATGGGTACTTGCGCAAGCAGATGAGGCAGCGCTTGGAGCGTTTGAGAGAAAAATTCTCTGAAAGATCTACGGGCCGATCTGCATCAACGGTGAATATCGACGTCGAACGAACCACGAGCTATACCATCTATACTCGGACATCGACATAGTCAGATGCAGCGACTACGGTGGCTAGGTCATGTTGTACGAATGGATGAGGATGCCCCAGCACATAAGGTATATAAGAGCGAGCCTACTGATGGTTCATTCAGAAGGGGCAGGCCAAGAATTAGATGGAAAGACCAAGTAGAAGACAATATATCGGAACATGGTCTTTCAAATTGGAAAAACTGCGCACAAGACCGACGCGCCTGGAAATCGTTTCTAAACTCGGCTTATGGAACAAATGTTCTGTCTCGAGCCAGCTAAGTAAGTAAGTAAGTTGGGGAATATCACAATGAATCAGTCAATATTGTATATTTTCAGAGCTGATCTATATCTCATACGATTAACGGCCAAAGCCGTTATGTCAAGTGTGTCAAATTTGTGGAAAATCGGCATTTCATCCGATTTGATGTTTAGGTCTCCTAATACGCACTTCATGAGAATGGTATATAAATCGATTTTATATTTAAGTTCAATATTTAGTACGCAAGTGGAGTATGAGAAACCTCCATCAAATTAAGGGGAATTTGATTATATTTTCATTTCTATGATTTAAAATTTAAATCGCTCTGAACCCGAATTTCCAAATCAATAAGGACCATTACAACGATTTATTTTTCTTAAAATACCAATATAAGCATTTATGTGTTACGGGTAGTCCCGGCCGAGATTTGCCCTTTCTTTACTGAACTTTAAGTCGGGATATTTCATAAAAAATTGTATTTTTCTCAGTGTACTAATTCTTCCCCAATACTCCTGCTACACTGGCTACGCGATTATGTTGTTTATTGTTTTTATGCTGTTAGTTTCAGCCGCTTCTTCTGATAATTGTTTTTCCACCCGCCTGTTACAATTTTATTTTTGACCCGGCTTTTGTTTTTTTGTTGAGTTTATTATTTATAATTGCATTTGTTGTTGTTTATTGTAATGAGAAAGGAAGCGTGTGTTTGAGTGTGAGCGTGTGTGTGAAATAAATTTGTCCATGCATTCAATTCAAGTTGGTGAGATACTGCCACAGGGGGAATAGACCACTACGACACTAGGGATGACAAGTGGTTGGTTGTCCGTAGTTGGTAGTGTTGAACGCTCATGATGATGATGATGATGTTGCAGTAAATGACACAGGCTGACGACGAGTGCAACTAGAATGACAATGACAACGACTGGTTGCGCTTTGATGCCTCTCAACTGAAAACAAGTGTTTTATGTTGTCGAATGAAGGAAAATGTGTGTATGTGTGTGTGTGGAAATAAACAATCGAAAAACGAAGAAATAACACAATAATAGGAGAAATAAAAATAATAGTAATGACATTGAGGATAATGCCCTCCATCGGGTTTTGTTATCCCAATTCGAAATTCCTTGCCTTCCATTGTGTTCTACAACAAATTATTTTTCTACTATCTAAACATCTGAGGGTGCTGTTTTGATGTCATTACTATTTGCATTTTTAATGAAATGCAAGAATATATTCGTCTAATTTCTTTTCGTGGAACAATGCGCCTCTTAACGGCTTTGCAGTGTAACAGGGTAGTTCGGATGAATTAAAATTGAATTTTTATAACACACTCGAAAATGTTTTGGGGGTATTATAGGTTTGATTGGGCCAAAAAATTTGTAACACCTCGCAATATTGGTTCTGCACATAGGATGTTATATATGGATCTTCCTATCTCGCCGAGCTGAGTCGATTTATCTATGGATGTCCGTCTGTCGATGTAAGCCACATTTATGATCCGATCATAAAAAAATCTATTATTTTTGATGATCCGAGAATGTTTTGGACAAAAAAATAGAGAAAACTTCCTTGCATTTGCTCCACAGGTCACAATTATAGGTCAATTGATGCGAAATTTCTCATAGGGGCATTGCAGAAGCCAACCACTTTGGATGGTCATAGGATAATATTAAGAAGAGTAAAATAAACCAAAACATTTGTGTAAAAAATACCAAAATTTCCATTAAACAGGCCGACTCTATAATACCCTACACCACTATGCGTATTTAGTAGAGCTCCCGTAGCAAAAAACGTTTATTTAGTGAAGTAGATCATACCAACTATGAACCTTATTTGAATGTGTATCATGACCTAAGAGAAGTCACAATTTGGGAACTATATCCAACCCTGATTCTTTTTTCAACAATTTTGACGGAGGCTTTTCTACTTCTAGTAGCGAATTACATTTATGTAAAGTTATGTATAGAATTTCATTTAAAAACCAATTGATATAACGGACCGAGCTTCACCAAATGGAAAAATTCCGTTGAATATGAAAAAATTTATCGAAGTTAGGCTGATATTATATATGGTGGACAATAGTCGTAAAATCGGATAAAGATGTATATCGAAAGTATATAAAAATCTGAACTGATCTCTATAAAATTTGGCAGAGGTATTTTCAAATAGTATCGGTATCAAATAGTATCGGATGAGATATACACATGGGAGCTATAGCTATATCTGAACCGGGTTCACCAGAATTTGAAGGACTTGTCGAAGCACTTCTGTCGGAAGTGCCAAAATTCAGTCTGCTTGGACTGATATTAGTCATTTCGTGAACAATAAACCTGAAATCGGATAAAGAAAACGGAGCGATATCCAAATCTGAACCGATCTTGACACTTCTTTCTGAGCTCTATCTAATATCGGGTACCAAAGATTATTGTTGTGGAGTGCATATTACGCATGTGAGAGACTTAAGACCCTAATCGAATAAAACATAAAATTTAACAAATGTATTTTTGAGCTCCATAAGTTATCTGGTACCAGATATCATTCTTGTGCAGTGCATATTACGCATGTGAGGGACTTAAAACCCAAAATCGAATGAAACATAAATATGGGAGCTATAATTATATCTGAACCGATTTTCTCCAAGTTTGATGTTCTTGCTTCTGGACTAAATCAAGTGTGCCAAAATTCAGATAATTTGGACTGATATTAGCCATTTGTTGCACAATAAACCTGAATCGTATAAAGGGTATGTATGGGAACTATATTCAAATCTGAACCGACATGTATAAAAATTCTCAGAGGTATTTTGGAATGTATTTGACATGGTACCAAATATAATTCTTGTTTAGTGCATATTACGAATGTGAGGGACTTAAAGCCCAAAATTGGATGAAGCAAATATATGAGAGTTTTGATAATACCTGAACCGATTTTGACCAAATTTAATGTACTTGCTTCTAGACTGAATTCGGCCGGATGTGCCAAAATTCATTGGATAGATATTGGCCATTTGGTGCTCAAGTAACCCGAAATCATTTGAAGATATATATGTGGGCTATATCTAAATCGATTTTCATCAAATTCAATAGGGTTCGTCCTTGGGTTAGACTAATTGTTTAAAAGCGGTCAAAAGCATTTTGGTGAGAATTTTCCAAAAAAAAAAAAAGGTATTCGTGACGGAATTCAAGCGTGATAGTTTGATTTCTTTATATTGGCTGGAAAACAACAAGTGGCTATCGTTAGAGCATTCCAGCATTTAAATGTGAATAAATCTTTGGTGTCTCGTACCATCGCTCGTTACCTCGTTCTCTGGTAGCGTAGCCCGACGTCAAGGAAGTGAATGGAAGAAAACGGAAATGGTTAGGAAAGTAAAGATGTGACTTGATCGAAACCCGCGTCTCAGTGGTCGAAAAATGGCTCGTGAGCAGAACATATCGCAATGTTCCATTCAGCAAATATTGAAAAGTTAGCTCGGGGTAAATCCATTGAAACTCCAACAGTGCAGGAACTTACAATAGAAAAAGGCTCAAAAGAGCTAAAGAGTTTCTTCGTTGTCTAGCAGTTTGTAAACAAACAAAATAATCGTGTATTCTTGCCAAAGAGGTCAGCTGAAAATGTGCACCTTCGGTTGGCCACCAGAACTCAAGCGCCGACCCTGGTGATGGTTTGGACCGCCATAATAGCCGATGGTCTCTCTCCGCTCGTATTATTCGACCGTGTCATCAAAATAAATGCCGAATATTATCGCGAAAATATTCTGGAGGGTGTATTAAAGCCTTGGGAACGCAAATATTTTGGACCTTGGACATTCCAACAGGACTCAGCACCATCGCATTCAGCACGCGCCACCCAAGAACGGTTACAAAATGAGTTTTCTCCCTTCATTTCCAGCGCACAATGGCCACCAAAATCTCCGAATACCAATCTGCTGGACTATTGTGTCTGGAATATTTTGGAAAGCAAGAAAATATTACATCGAGCAAGCGCTTCGCCAGGAATGGACCAAAATACCGCAGAGCAACATTCGGGTGGCGTGTGACGGTTTCATTGGTCGTCCATTGACCGAAGGCCATAATTCGTGCCAAAGGTGACCAATTCGAACATATCTAAACTTATTCTAACATTTGATGCTATTTACGACATGTTTTGCTTTCATCCAATAAAAGTTAAAAAATGTAAAAATTATGGTGTTTGACTTTGTTGCAGTTTTTTTATATCACCTTGTAAACGCCAGGAATGTGTTTGCGTTTTAAAATGACAATTGTTTTAATTGTTTGCATATGTAAATAATTTTATTTGAATATATTTTTACAAGTTTATGAATTGGAAAAAATATAACATGGAAATTGGATATTATAGAATTATCAGACTTTAGACTAAGTTAAAACACGATTAAAAAATCAATTAAATTTGATATTCTAATGACATATCACCATCAGATTTATAAACCGTTTTATAACTCAACAACAGTCTGCACATCTCCATATAACTTCTTAACCCCTTTTGGGTAGAGCTTTACATTTTTGCAATTTCTGTCCAGCTTTCATGCCAGCACAACGGCGAGTATCGGTCCAGCTCAACAAATTCGATCGGCCACGTTGACAATTAACGCGTTGCAATTGACAGGCGGTCAATAGCTGACAATTGTTCTTTTTGGAACGATAACATCTCAGCACCTTGCTAGGGCTGCGGCATTTCAAACGATTACAGTTTGGTGTTGCTGAGCGTGGACTACGTGGATGGGCGGGGGCACATTTACCTCTGCCATTGGGTGATTTAATGTTACGGCAACGTATTGGGTCGACATTGGAAATGGCTAAAAGTCGAAAAAATTAAGAATATAAAAATATTTTTGAAGGTGAACATGTTCTCTTACTTGGTCGCTTGGCGGCTCGTCGACGACAATTCTCCTCATCCAACTGACATTGGCTCATGCGGAAGCACATTTGCTGGTGATTATCAGCGGCACAAACGGCTGGACTGCTTACCCTGGGCCTGCATACCGGACGACATTTTTGTGCCTCACAGGTGGCCACGATAACGAGAGCTATATTGAAATAATTTTGATCTTTCATAATGGAACTATCCTCCATGATAATTTTAGAGCTTACCGAAAATGCAAATAATTTTAAGCATTGCAAGAATTTGAATGTATTCTTAGTTGGACAACTGGAAATTGACTGATGATAATTTTGATAAGTTTTCGTTCATTTATATGGAGTTGTCGAAAATTTTTGTTTTGAAAAGAACCCGGGAAATGGGTTCAGACGGTGCTACATACTGTTTTACATCTGCATCTATATTCCTTCATCCGATAAAGTTGATAAATATAGGCTAACTTCGCGAGTAGCTATAAACACTTGCACACGTGTGAGTCTGCATGTCTGAATTCGATAAAAGCAGACGTTCCAGATACTAGTTAATGCCCAGACAACACGTGTTGGCTGTCAGGGAAGCTCTATTTTAACAATAAAACAATCAATAAATTCCTTCTTTTTCTGAGATTAATTGTTTACTTTCCACGTGTTTTATGGATTATACTTTGACAGTTAATACAATTTTTTCGACACCGGTATATAAATCAACGAAATTTTATCAAAATTATTATCAGTCAACTGACCAGCTACAGAATACATTCAAATCATTGCAATGCTTAAACTTATTTGCATTTTCGGTAAGCTCTAAAATTATCAGGGAGGATAGTTCCATTATAAAGGATCAAATATTCTTCTATATAGCTCTCGTTATCGTGGCCACCTGTGAGGCACAGAAATGTCGTCCGGTATGCAGGCCCAGGGTAAGCAGTCCAGCTGTTTGTGCCGCCGATAATCAACAGCAAATGTGCTTCCGCATCAGTCAATGTCAGTTGGATGAGGAGAATTGCCGACGACGGGCCGCCAAGCGACCAAGTAAGAAAAAGAAGTTAATAATTATTTCTTTAACCGCTATTCCATCCAATTTCAGCCATTTCCAATGTCGATCCAATACGTTGCCGCAACATCAAATCACCCAATGGCAGAGGTAAATGTGCCCCCGCTCATCCCCGCAGTCCACGCTCAGCAACACCAAACTGTAATCGTTTGAAATGCCGCAGCCCCAGCAAGGTGTTGAGATGTTATCGTTCCAAAAAGAATAACTGTCAGCTATTGACCGCCTGTCAATTGCAACGCGTCAATTGCCAACGTGGCCGATCGAATTTGTTGAGCTGGACTGATACTCACCGTTGCGCTGGCATGAAAGCTGGACAGAAATTGCAAAAATGTAAAGCTCTTCCCAAAAGGGGTTAAGAAGTAATGTGGAATTTTACGTCCAGGATATTCAGGCTGATGTTAAGTTATTAAACGATTTGAAAAACTTACGGTGCTATATTAATTGAATATGGAACTATTTTGATTTTTAAGTGTTTAATAACTCAGGCACTGATCTGATAATTCCATAATGTTCCATATATTTTCTATATTATTTTCCCTGCTTTAATTTGTGAGTAAACAAAATTGTAAAAAATATTCAAATACACCTATTTTCAAAAGCAAAAAAGTTTTGAAATTTGATTATTACCGTCTGTAGGCTGAAAAAATGATTTTAACTTTTCTGTTGACTCCAAATAGTTCTTTGCTGTTTTACTACCAATACAGCTTAAAGAAGCACCCGTATCCATTAAACCCAAATATAAGTCGTAAACTTATGCAGCAAAGACAAAAACAAACAGATTTTTACAATTTTAGTAGATTTTTAATTAGTTTAAAAAGTGAAATAACCAATATATGAAATAAAGAGTGAGATGAAAAAACTACAACCAACTTCAAACTGCTGTCATTTCTAAGCCACTCGTCCGACAGCTGTTAAAATTATTCCAGTGACAGCTCATTATATTATTTACAAACATACAAAAGCATTTTGGTGAGAATTTTCCAGAAAAAAAGGTAGTCGTGATGGAATTGAAGCACGATAGTGTGATGTCTTTATATTTGGCTGGAAAACCACAAGTAGCTATCGTTAGAGCACTCCAGCATTTAAATTTGAATCAATATCTTGTGTCTCGTACCATCGATCTATACCGTGATACTGGTAGCGTAGCCCGACGTCAAGGAAGTGGACGGAAGAAAACAACAACATCAGCAGAAATTGTTCGAAAAGTAGAGAAGCGACTTGATCGAACCCCGCATCGCAGTGGCCGAAAAATGGCTCGTGAGCTGAACATATCGCAATATTCCATTCGACAAATATTGAAAAATGAGCTCGGGGTAAAGTCATTGTAATTCCAAAAAGTTCAAGAACTTACACCGCGATAGAAAAAAATAGACTCAAAAGAGCTAAATATTTGTGGTGAACTGCCGAATTTGGTTTTCTCCGATGATAAAACATTCGTTGTCCAGCAGTTTGTAAACAAACCAAATGATCGTGTTTACTTTCCAAAGAGGTCAGCTGAAAATGTGCACCATCGGTTGGCCACCAGAACTTAAGCGCACAATGACCACCAACGCACAATGACCACCAAAATCTCCGGATACCAATCCGTTGGACTATTGTGTTGGGAGTATTTTGGAAAGCAAGGTTGGCACTAAAAAATATCACCTCAAGCAAGCGCTTCGCTAGGAATGGACCAAAATACCGCAGAGCAACATTCGGGTGGCGTGTGACGGTTTCATTGGTCGTCCATTGACCGAAGGCCATAATTCGTGCCAAAGGTGACCAATTCGAACATATCTAAACTTATTCTAACATTTGATGCTATTTACGACATTTCGGCTTTCATTTAATGAAAGTTAAGAAAAGTGTAGAAAATATGGAGTTTGACTCTGTATGTATGTCAATAGAACAACAATTCGTTTTTTTAACAACTCTGTTGCCATTGTAGTGAATATTTTTGTGTGTAAAAAATTACTAATTTTTAAATTATTTGCATATGTATATCATTTTATTGGAATATATCATTAACTTTTTACAAATTTATGATTGAATGAAAAATAATATTTATATTTATGGGACATTGGATATTGGAAAATTTTCAGACTTTAGTCTAGGTTAAAAAATGATTAAAATTCAATTAAACTTGATATTTTAATGATATATCACCATCAGAATAATAAACCATTTAATAACTCAGCATCGGTCTGCGCATATCCCCATGTCACTTCTTAACCCCTTTTGGGTAGAGCTTTACATTTTTGCAATTTCTGTCCAGCTTTCATGCCAGCGCAACGGCGAGAATCAGTCCAGCTCAACAAATTCGATCGGCCACGTTGACAATTAACGCGTTGCAATTGACAGGCGGTCAATAGCTGACAATTGTTCTTTTTGGAACGATAACATCTCAGCACCTTGCTAGGGCTGCGGCATTTCAAACGATTACAGTTTGGTGTTGCTGAGCGTGGACTACGTGGATGAGCGGGGGCACATTTACCTCTGCCATTGGGTGATTTAATGTTACGGCAACGTATTGGATCGACATTGGAAATGGCTAAAATCGAAAAAAAATAGGGATATAAAAATATTTTTGAAGGTTAACATGTCCTCTTACTTGGTCGCTTGGCAGCCCGACGACGACAATTCTCCTCATCCAACTGACATTGGCTCATGCGGAAGCACATTTGCTGATGATTATCGGCGGCACAAACGGCTGGACTGCTTATCTTGGGCCTACATACCGGGCGACATTTTTGTGCCTCACAGGTGGCCACAATAACGAGAGCTATATGGAAATAATTTTGATCTTTCATAATGGAACTATCCTCCATGATAATTTTAGAGCTTACCGAAAATGCAAATAAGCTTAAGCATTGCAAGGATTTGAATGTATTCTTAGTTGGACAACTGGAAATTAACTGATGATAATTTGGATAAGTTTTCGTTCATTTATATGGAGTTGTCGAAAGTTTTTGTTTTGAAAAGAACCCGGGAAATGGGTTCAGACGGTGCTACATATTGTTTTACATCTGCATCTATATTCATTCATCCGATAAAGTTGATAAATATAGGTTAACTTCGCGAATAGCTATAAAAACGTGTGAGTCTGCATGTCTGAATTCGATAAAAGCAGACGTTCCAGATACTAGTTAATGCCCAGACAACACGTGTTGGCTGTCAGGGAAGCTCTATTTTAACAATAAAACAATCAATAAATTCCTTCTTTTTCTGAGATTAATTGTTTACTTTCCACGTGTTTTATGGATTATACTTTTACAGTTAATGCAATTTTTTTCGACACCGGTATATAAATCAACGAAATTTTATCAAAATTATCATCAGTTAACTTCAGCTGTCCAACTAAGAATACATTTAAATCCTTGCAATGCTTAAAGTTATTTGCATTTTCGGTAAGCTCTAAAATTATCACAGAAAATAGTTCCATTATAAACGATCAAAATTATCTCCATATAGCTTTCGTTATCGTGGCCACCTGTGAGGCACAGAAATGTCGTCCGGTATGCAGGCCCAGGGTAAGCAGTCCAGCTGTTTGTGCCGCCGATAATCAACAGCAAATGTGCTTCCGCATGAGCCAATGTCAGTTGGATGAGGAGAATTGTCGTCGACGGGCCGCCAAGCGACCAAGTAAGAACACATTTTAAACTAAAAAAATATTTTTGTATTCTTATTTTTTTCGACTTTTAGCCATATCCAATGTCGACCCAATACGTTGCCGTAACATCAAGTCACCAAATGGTAGAGGTAAATGTGCCCCCGCCCATCCACGTAGTCCACGCTCAGCAACACCAAACTGTAATCATTTGAAATGCCGCAGCCCCAGTAAGGTGTTGAGATGTTATCGTTCCAAAAAGAACAACTGTCAACTATTGACCGCCTGCCAATTGCAACGCGTTAATTGTCAACGTGGCCGATCGAATCTGTTGAGATGGATCGATAATCGCCGTTGCGCTGGCATGAAAGGTGGACAGAAATTGCAAAAATGTAAAGCTCTACCCAAAAGGGGTTAAGAAGTGACATGGATTCATATATAGGAGATATAGAGGCCGATGCTAAGTTATATAACGATTTGAAAAACTTACAGTGCTGTATTAATTGAATATGGAACAACTTAATAATTCAATCTACATTTTTTCTATACACTTTTCCCTACTTCAATTTGTGAACATGTAAAAAAAATTATAAAAAATATTCAAATACACCTATTTTCAAAAGCAAAACAATTTCGAAAGTTATCCTTCCTTTAACCAGTATATAAAAACATTTTATACTAAAATGTTAATAGTTTCTCCATAACGGGTATTTCTATACCCTACAACACTATGTGTTGTACTGGGCCAAAAATTATGTAACACGTTGAAAAATTGGTTTCCCATATAGGAAGTTATTTATGGATCTTCTTATCTCGTCGATCTAGCTATGTATGTCCGTCCGACCGTCTTGTAATCACGTTAGAGGTCGCAATTATAGCCCGAACCTCACGAAATTTGCTATTGCTTTTGGCGATGATCGCAAAATATTTAGGGGTTCAAATGAGCCAAAAAAAAAAATAGAGAAATTTTCCGGATCACACAATTGAAAGCAATTGACATGGAATTTTGCATGAGAAGAGAGTTAAGCACAGGGAAGAAGTCTTGCATTTTGGATGACAATTGAATTATATTTAGCTGTAAAATGGATCACAACAACTAACTACAAAATGGAGTGCATAAATATTGGGCAATTGTGCCTGGTTAAAAAGCTAAGGGTAATATCTGGGCAGTGCTCTATGACATAATTTGAAAAACGAAAACTTCTAACATCGATTGGACATAAGGGGGTTTCTAACATATTGTAGTGTATTAGGGTATCACATGATCGACCCCACATGTCTACAGCCTTTACTTTTTTTTTTTTTTTTTTTTTTTGTTGAATAATTATTGTGTCTTTATTTTTATTGTATGGATGTACATTTTGAATCTTTTGAGCAAAAAATAAATTAATTTTCAATTGAAATCGTTTTGCAACTAAAGTATTTCCTCCATTGTTGTTTCACAACTGTTGAATGTTATTTATATTTAAATTTTTATCAGAGAATATTTTTTTCATAACATATTTTATGTAAGCAACCCAACGCGATTCACTTTAAAATAAAATTCAGACTTACCTCATTACTTTTCCATATGTCACAGAGAAAATATTCCTGTTTCACCCTAATGTAGTAACAATTTCTTTGGAAGAAGATCTTCTAAGGGCGATGGTCTTCAGCAATGCTCCAATAATTTTCGATTCTAGAAAGACAATAAGAAATTTCCACAATTAGAACAGGTGTTAGGAACGTAGTTATAAATAAAATAAAAAGGGCCATGACTTCATCATTTGTATAAATTATTTAAATGTAAAATGCGGGGTATGTAAATTGTGAGTCTTCTTTAGATTAAAGCAACAGCATTGCGTTTTGGGAAACCACCCCCATAAGCACTTAATGTTATTATGGAAAATATGTTATATTCTGAGATGTACAGCCGACAGAAAAAGTCGGCTACGTGGAACCTGAAAATTTTTCAACCAAAAATTTAAAAACAAAATACCATAGTGCTGGATTAATTTAAAATAATATTCAAATTAGGATTAAAACGGAATATTTCGAATTAACAAAGCCATCCCAACAAATAAATGCAAACCTTCTTATACCCTACACCACATAGTGGCAAGGGTATTATGTCGTTGTGCATTTGTTTGTAACATAAAGAGAGAGAGAGAGAGAGAGAGAAGTGAGAGAGACCTTTGAGGATCTTTATAGAATCACTTTCTGAGTTGATTTATGCATGTCTGTCCGTCTGTCCATGTATTTTTGTAAACAAAACGCAGGTCGTATTTATTATTCGATTTCGATGAAATTTTCCAAACAATATTTGTTTGGCCCAGGGACGAAGGCAATTGAATTTGGTGAGAATCGGTTAAAATTTAGATATAGCTCCCATATATATCTTCAACCGATTTCGGGTTAATTGTGCAACAAATGTCCAATACCAGTCCAAATGACCAGCATTTTGGCACATCCTACAAAATTCAGTTTAGAAGCAAGCACATCAAAATTTTTTTGCAAATCGGTTCAGATGTAGCTATGGCTCTCATATACAGGGTGAGATAAAAAAACTGGCAACAAAGTCAAACGCCATAGTTTTTACTTTTTATACCCTACAACACTATGTGTTGGGGGTATTATAAGTTTGATTGGGCCAAAAATTATGTAACACTTCGAAATATTGGTTTCCCACATAGGAAAGTATATATGGATCTTCCTAGCTCGCCGAGCTGAGTCGATCTAGCTATGTATGTCCGTCCGTCCGTCTGTCCGTCTGTCCATGTTAATTTGTAATCACGCTACAGGTCGCAATTATGGCCCGATCTTCACGAAATTTAGAATGTAGGTGGGGTTAAGCTCAGAATAGAACCCTATTTCTTTTGGAGATGATCGCCAAATGTTTAGGGGTTGAAATGGACCAAATACTGAAAAAATGTCGGATTTTACAGTAGCTATACAGGTCGCAATTATGGACCAATCGACGCGAAATTTCGCATGTAGATAGAGTTTAGGGCGGGGAAGAAGCCTACTAATTTGGGTGGTCATCGGATAATATTTAGCGGGTAAAATATACCATATCTTTTGTGTTGAAAAAAATCAAAATTTTTCATTAAACCGTGAATATTTTAAATCCCTGCGAAATCACAAAGCCATCAAAAGGTTACTTCTGACCTTTACATTGATGTTATTATCCAACAAATCGGATATATAGCAAAATATGTGCGATATATATGTCTATCAAAGGAGATATGCTTAAAAAATCTCTTATATGTCGAGAACGGCTGAACTGATTTTGACAGTTCTCATTAATTCAGAATGGCCTCTTGGCAGGAAAGAAAAAACGTCTAAAAAAATCGCAAAAAAATATCTCTCTAAGGATGAAAATATTGATTTTGTAACATTTTCTCATATTTTTTCAAATTTTGTCATATTTTTTTGGCATATTTTCATTTTGTTTTGAATTAAACATTTGGTAATATTTCTACAGCTAACAAAACTAAGTAGTTAGGATATCTGGATATCATATACAGATCTCATTTATGGCCCGATCCTTACGAAATTTTGCATGGGGATAAGATGAGGGTCAGAATAGAAGTCTACTCTTTTTGGAGATGATCGCAATATATTTAGGGGTTGAAATGGACCAAAAAACTGCAAAATTGTCGGCAGGTCGGAATTATCGCCCGATCCTCACGCACATTTGAATGGGGGTTACCGCACATTGTAAAAGCCAAGCTGTTTTGGACGGCCATCCAAAAATATTCAATGTGTGAAGGAGTTTGCCAACTTTTGTAGACAAAATATGAAAATGTCCATTCCAGTGACTTTTTGGAGATTTCACAAATACGGGAAAGACGCACTTCCGACTATTTCCTTAACGCTGATTTCGTTGAAGAATATAGTTAAATGGCTGTATCTCATATAGATGCGTTTCAGTCAAAAACCAATAATAAATGTTAATCTTTTGTCACTTCTGATAGATTATAGGTCTTTGGGAAATATTGGTTCCAGATCTAGGAAGACCATTTACGTGCAACATCTACCAATAAATTGGAAATGAGCAAATTAGTTAAAGTTGCTATTATTCGAAAATTAGAGAACGAAACCTGATGGTTTTCTTTTATTATTTGTCACAATATCTTGTGTAATTCTTTCGAGTATCTCGCCTATATGAACTGTATCGTTTATTATAGTGTTGTAGGGTATTCAACGGTCGGCCCCGATCGACTGTAGCCTTTGCTTACTTGTTTTTATTAATTTTATTGAATGAAAGCTAAAAATGTCGAAAATAGCATCAAATTTTAAAATAAGTT